GTGTGTGTGTGTGTGTGTGTGTGTGTGTGTGTGTGTGTGTGTGTGTGTGTGTGTGTGCGCTTGCGTGCGTGCGTGCGTGTGCGTGTGTGCGTGTGCGTGTGCTGATCCACTACATGCATTCTCAGAATAAAGTCGTCCACAGAGTATATGCTCACTCGACGTTATTGTATTGACGCAGTGTTTACGAGTTAACGCGTTATTGAATTGACGCACGAGTTAACGCGTTATTCTCAATAACTTCATATTTGTGATGCGGTAAATTAACTGTGATCTATTCCTATTCACGGTAGCATTCTGGTTGCTTTTATGTCAATGTCGGTACATCAACATAAAAAACATTTCAGCCAAAACGTGTAGCGGATAGCTATCTTAGTAAAAGTGAATATATAATAACACATTTCTAAACTTGTTATATCGATTTTCCATCTAACAAACTAGTAACTGCTTCCTCCACACCGCTGATAACGGGAGAGTACTACTTTCATGTACTTAACCTGTTTACAGCCGGACGTTTAAGTTTATGAATGGGAGTTGGGGGCATTATGTCACGCTACGTCACGGGGTCACGCTCTCACGTGACCCGCGTGATGCGCGTAATAACTGTGATCATCGCATAACGCGTAACACTATTATTTGATTGAGGCGTTTGGCGGCCATGTTTGAGCGCGTGCGGTCGGGCGCTACTCTATACGTCGTCGACTCGCCCGCATGCTTGTGTAACACTGCGCATGTACAGAACGCCACGGCAGCCCGCACAGAGCAGCACGCATTACTATGCATTTCCATTTCATGTACAGAACTCGACGGCAACCCGTGAAGAACACGTATTACTATGCATTTCCATTTCATGTACAGAGCGCCATGGCAGCTCGCGCTGAGCACAAATTACTATGCATTTCAATTTCGGCGTCCGACTGCTACGATCAATTGGCCGGAGAAAGCCTGTAGCAAGAAAGTTTGCCGCAGAACTCAAATCTGCACGCAATTTTCGACGCATTGATCTTGCAGCATGCGAAACACATAAAAGTATAGGCTACACACGCGCGCACGCGCGAGTGGAAATAGCAATTTAGTAATTTATTCGCCATGGCCGCCAAGTTGTTTAGATACTCGTAATAGAAGAAATCTTAACTGTAGTAAACACGACAGTTTAAAATTACTTACCTGATATGAAGGCGTAGCGTGCCTGTAGAAGGTCGGATACATCGCATATGCTCAAGTTACATCCATTCTCATCCATAATCAGGTCATCTGCGTAGAAAACAAACGCAAACAACACGTTACTACTATACGTGGCGCGTGAACTTTAGAACGAAATGTGCCATTGCGATATCGAAAAGTTATCCATATACACTCAAGGAACGTATGTTTGGACGGGAAATTGCCATTGCCGCAGTGCCCGCCACCCAACCTAATGTTCAAACACATCCTCATCCACGGCAATTTGGCAAAAGTCACATCTCGGTAATATCGGCCTTCGTTGATCGCCGCATGCGGCTTTCATGCGCACGTATACATACACGGTAACACGTGCTTTCCACAAATTGTTCTGCGCCAATGACACAAATTCAATTTCAACCGTGATGCAATTACGAGCAACCTACACTACACACGAGTCAGCGTGCGCGTGTGCCTACGCTGCTCTGACGTCACACACACACCGAAAGCGAAAATGCTCCGTATACAACCAGGGCCGTAGTGGCCGCCACGGCAGCACGGCACTGCCGTGGCACTATTTTTAAGAGAAAAAATTCTGCAGGGAACCAAGGAGCAACATATTATGATATACCAAGGAGATGAAACCCCGGAGAGGGGGAGCACTCACCCCACATTATGGTAGGTATGTGCCACTGCAAAGTCAAAAATGGGGGGCTCTGGAACTAACTCAGACCTGAAAATGGGGGTCTCTGGAACTAATGTTTGTTGAATGTGGTATGCTATGAAACTGGACACGTTTAAAAGAGGGGGTCTCCGGAACTGTGGGGGGAACAGTGATTTGCTTTAAAATCTATGCAGTAGCACTTGAACCAATCATTGTTGTATTATGTAGAGGAGAAAAACATGACACGGAGAGAGATGAACCCACGCACACGCACGCGCACGCACGCACGCACGCACGTACGCACACATACAACACACACACGTTGCATGCATGCCTTGACGGCCCGGCTTCAACGTATTCTGAAGTACGATGCACTGGAACGGAAATATTAAAAACTAGGGTCTCCGGAACGGCAAAAATGTAAGATCTACATGGTAACTAAACTTAATGCTCTGGAACGAGATATTCTCAAAAATGCGATGCATTGGAACGGAAGTTTAGGGTTAGGGTTGAAAATGGGGGTCTCTCCCGCGGCACATACCTACCATGCAATGTATATGGAGTGCCCCCCCCCCGACCCAGCACGACCCAGTTAAGGCTCAACAATGCAATGATCATGCATGTGCACCGAGACATGTTAGACAAGGTAGATGAACAAAATGTAATTTCAGAATTTGTAAGTTGCCATCCAGGCAGAAAAGATAAAATTGGAATAAAAAAAAAATACAATGACAAGTTATCTGACTGGACTGTCTGGTATTACTATTAATACTGAACAATTAGAGGTGTTATATCAGTGCTTTAAGATTTGGAATGTGTATTTAATATGACAATGTGCCTATTCAAATTCAAACTTCAAAACATACAGACGATACATAGTGAAAGTATAAATGCAGATTGAAAATAGGCTTATTTTTCATAATTATATACTGATAGTATATACAATTTTGTAAATAATGTTTTATTAGTTATATCATACTCATAATATATATTTTAGATACTTTAGTCAAAACATCAGCTTTAGCTACATTCTTCTTTGAAATTTACAAATTTACCTTTTAAAATGATCAGAATTGGTTGCTTTCAACATAGCCTGAAAATGCAGGAAATGCCATTTCCAGGCTCTACATTTCAAAATTTCCAGACCCCCCGCATCGGCTACATATTTCTGTAGTCCCACTTTTTGGGAGGTCACTACGGACCTGACAAGCATATACGCACAATAAAATAATAGCACTCAGTACGGTGTGAGGGTGCACGCAAAACACGTTGTCCGCTTGTGTACCACACAGACAACATAAGTCGATGAAAATGAGGTGTAGTAGCTATACGGATCCTCGTACAGCTTAAATCGAATAGATGGCACACCGCTCTTTCTCTCTCTCTCTCTCTCTCACGAACGAACGCACGCACGCACGCACAAACACACGCACGCACGCACGCACGCACGCACGCACGCACGCACGCACGCACGCACACACACACACACACACACACAGCCAAGAGCAGAAGCAGGGACAGAACAGAGACAAGAAGCAAGAGGCAAGCCAAGAGCAACAGCAGGCAGGCCAGGTAGGCAGCGTACGCATCTTCTTGGACTAGCTGAAAGAGACCATATAGCGCGGACTTGGTATGCCACAGAATGCGGTCATTGACTCACAATCTTAACCCATCTAACACATTTAATGCATGTTACAGATTGCAACGTTAGAACATGGAGTGGTAATGCAATGCACGAAGAAATTAAATTGTCGTTCCGCAGCACTGGGGTGCATGTCGTACATACATAAGCCACAAATATACACCGCACCTGGCCACCAGCAATATAAAGTTATCATAAGGTACCGCAATATGACCCTATTACTGACTCCAGCCGCCTCAAGCATACGTCAAGACATGTGAAAATTCTATCGTAGGCTTCGCAGGCTCAACCCACGCCTAAGTGAACAAAGAAAACCATTTACGTGATGTACGCCTACCTTACCCTGAACAAAAAACTTATGGATACCTTTCCGCACTAGACTACACTGATTCTGCGCGGCCTCGTAGTGTAGCAGGCAAATAATTGGTTCGGAAGAACCAAATAGAATAGTCTCATAACTGTCCTTGTGTGGCACTTGGTTTTTTTCATTTGAATTTTCTCTACTGTTAACGCAGATACTGTTCTCCTCATATATAACACGCTATTCGTAACTGAAAAAAAAAAAAGAAAACGTGAAACCCAAAATATTCCTGATTCCCTGCCACTGAGTGCAATACATAATTATTTATCCTTTTTTATATACATAACCACAGCCTATCATAAAGGAATTCTGTTTCTAACCCCGTGTGTTTATATTTTATCTAATCAACATATAAAATAAAGGACTTACGATTAATACATGTGCAAGTACTATTCATTTTATAACATACCAAAAAACATCAATAAAGGATTGCGTACTACAACCCAGTGCATATACTATTTATATCTAACCACACAATATCAAATAAAGGATACTTACGATCTACTACATGTCAATAC